ACGCTGCTGAATCCTGATAGTCGGAGCAAGTCATGCGTCGCACTGGTTGGCAAGCTCACCCACACCTGGACAGTGGTGGAGTCTGCCGGGGCACTCCTGTCTTTATTCTTACGAAAAGACCTACCCCAAACCGAGGTGATGAGAGGCTGGAGTTCCCCAAGGCGGTGAAGGATCACTTTTGCAGGTGCCTGTACCAGGTTCTTCCAAGCATCTGGCTGGAAATCTTCACTGTGCACAGTGAGCGAACATGTGACGGTTTCTGCTACTGTCATTTTGAGCTGCGTCAATCCGAGTTTCACATGCTTTGAGCCCAACTGGTACATCGTACCTCTGAGAAGCACACGATCCTGAGTGCCACGGCCTCCGCAGGTGACAGCAGGGCCACCCCTGTGGTTCTAGTACTGATTTCAGTGAGCACGTCGGCTGGGGAACAATCCGCATACTGAAAAGTGCCCGGCTCCAGCTGAAAGTCAGCCGCACGAGGCGCCACCACATTATCACCCTTAATGGGTTTCTTACTGGCCCTGCGGGACTGGGGTTTACCCTTGCCTTTGCCCTTGTCTTCACCAAAGAGATCAATCGTGTGCTTGGCTGCTAAATCAATGAGGGCCGATTTCTGTTTCCCAAGAGAAGCTTCGTTTTCAAGGGTCACAATTTCAGCTTCCTCACATCTGGAGAGCAGTTCGTCGACCTTCTGCGCAATCCTGTGCACAGGCACGCTTTGTTGCAACAGGATGGTTGCACAACGATTCGGAAGATTCTTTGCCTTGACTCCTCCCCGAATGCCTTGCGTTCTCAGGGAGACAACAAATGTGGCAAGGTGATATGCTTTGGTGTCCCATGCAATTTGGCACCCGTTGACCCAGGGCGCCAAGGCGTCAAAGTCACCTTGGTCTTGGCAGTGCGCCGCACGGCATGCAGCTTTCAGGTCACAATGCATTTGTACACGAAGCACCCGTGCTTTGCTAGCCCCGGGCCATTTGACCCAGAGTTCCACGGAGCGTGGATCTGATGTAACCGAAGTATGGATAGGGTTGAGGCAAACACTGATGACAGGATGCGAAGGTGGTACCGCCGTCTCCCTGATTAAGCTGTTTGAGATCCAACCATCAAGACCCAACGAGCGAACACTGGCCTCACGGTACACATTGATCATCTGCTGTAGTTCAGCGGCATACTCCAAGGCAAGCGGCGTCACGTTGGGAGGGACACGCTGAATGCAAAAAATCAGACCATCCCACATCCACACGATGAAGCGGGATTCTCCAAAAAGGATGGTAGTGGGTATTACCCTATGCAGACAGGACCTCAATTCCGCAATGCGAGCCGCTCCAACCTGCACAAAGCGTAGTGAGACAAAATGTACCTGACAGTTTTCGCGGATTTCGAAATGCTCTGAGACCCTGCGTGGCCCACTCAGATCTGACAAGAAGACTTCATAATCACGCTTCGGAATTTCAAGCAAATCCTGGATGAAAGCAACCGGCACAGGCTGGTGCAGTACCACGAGTCTCAGTGGTGACTGTGACGGCCCATGTCACGTCGATCGGAATGGTGGGGGAAATGTCATGCCGGGCTGCGTCAACAACCACATGGGACCAACCATCACGTGTCAAGACACGGGCTTTGGTTGCCCTGATCCGCCTGTGCAGATAAGCACTTATATATTGCATCGGGTCTATAGTGGGTGCACACAAGATCCTACGGGCATGTCTGACAACGGCCACTCCTAACACATACAGCGCATGGATGGGCGCAATGAAGTTGCCAACATGCCTGAAGGCCTGATTGACATCGGCTGGCAAAGTGGCTGGCTCTTTCAGGCCATGGGCAATCAAGACCTGATAGGGTGACAGGAAATGCGGCTTGCCATTGGTATGTTTTGCATCAAGGACCAACACTGCGAAAATGCCCTGTGTCTCGGCGAGATGAGTTCCCAGAAAGTGCTGTTGGCTGTAGGTGGCCATGATGGTACCAAGACGATCGGTTGACCGGATGGCACGGGCAGATATGTTGTTGGAGCGGCACTTTATCTTCATACTCTCAGGCAAGAACCTGGGGTCGTCATAAATCGCAATTGCAGACTCAGTGAGCTCCAAGCTTTGTCTGTGCTCCTCGTCTATGTCAAGGTGCCACGCGTCAAAGTTGGCGAGAGTCGGTTTACCCAAGGCAGTCCAGCGATAGCTGATCAACTCTTCGTCTTCTCCCCATTGCACTCCGAAAAGAGCTAACCATCTAGGTCTGCCGGCTGGCACATGCTCATCAAGCGATGCAGTGTCTTCCCAAAGGCATCGAAAGCCTGCCCACGCGGCGGCATTCCTGATGTGAATGAAATCCGGATGCTCTGTGATGGTAGAGACATTCTCAACTGCAATCATGGCCGGTCTGCAGAGCTGGGCAGCTTCAAAAACATCCAACCACAATCTACCGCTTTCTGTTCGGAAGCCAGACTGACCTCCTGCTCTGGACCAGGGTGGGCACGGGCAGGACACCGTCCAGAAATTGGCATGCGTGCAGCTATGGAGTAGTGCAAGGGTGCCCACAGTCACGTCCTTTCTCCAATAGAGATGCTGACCGGATTCAAAGGGGCCGGATGCTGAGGGGAACTGATCCCTTTGCAGGTGAGTGCCGCCATGATTCCTCATGTGTGTTTCAGCAGCACTTACGCTGTTGTCGATGCAGGCCACGGTGCTGATTGGGACCTGGAGGTCTTTGAGGTGCCTAACGGCATGTGACCAACCACCAATGCCACCTGCAAACACGTCCATGACTCTCAAGGCAGTCGGCTTGGGTGTGCCCGGCTCGTGGCACATGAACGCCGTGTCCTGCTGGCAGTGGATCTGACGCTCCTCATTGAGCACCTCAATTTGCACATTGGTGAGGATGAGCAAACACTGCGGTGAGGTCGCAACTGGAAATGGATCTAGTGTGTCGATCATTGCTATCCCGTCATTCTGAAGAATGCCGGTGGGATTCGGGACTTCGCGATGTGCGGGAAACTCTGAGAGCTGTGCAAGATAAACAAGCCTCACCCCTTGACTTCTGGTCAAGGTCCAGTTCATGACGCAAACATGGGCAGTGCCTCCGATGTCCCAAAGCGGGTCATGGGTCGAAAGGCAACCCCTACCAAAGAGCCACTGTTCAGTTGGGATTTCAGCCTGATCTGGCCGCAGCTTAGGATGTGCACTCCGTGAGCGGAGTCTTTTCATCCCGCCTGAGATTCCCTGGTCCTTCAAGCGGAGCACCTGGTTACGGAGGGCAGTCACTGGCGTCCCCAAGTCTAGATAGAGGCTGTTAGAAGTGCAATGTACAAATCTCTTCAGCCGGAGGTAACCAAGGATGTCTCTCAACTTGAAATGGCAACACACTGTCATGACCACGGATTTAGTGGCACCAGGCAGCACCACCCAGAGATCTACTGTCAAAGGAAATTGGTTGGATCGGATGCCCGTAGTAGGGCTTTCATGTTCGGGATCACCTGTCGAAATGCACAGCCGGGAGCAAAATGGCAACAGCGGCATGCTCTGCAAAACGGAACAGGCACTCTGATTTAGAGTTGGGTCGTCGTGATTCTCCTCTGCAATTTCACCGCACGCCGGAACAACTGGCGAATGCAGATAGTTTTCCAATCTCTTCCTGCTGCAGAAGCGTGCAAGTTTCCAAGTAACCATGGCAGCGCACGTTGGAAGCGTGCCCTGGTCCTCAGCGTCACACGAGTAGGCAGAAAAAGCGTAATGCGTTTGCACACCTGGGCGTCGGGTTTGCGTCACAGGCTGCGCTTCTTGTCCGTCCTTTTGGCGATTTTCCCCTAAAGGGAATGCACCATCAAACGTCAAATTCGTAGCGGAGTCAAGGATATTGAGCCAAGAGATATCTGTGCAACTCTTAGACCTGTCAATGAGCTCAACGCTACTGTCATGCATGGTGGGTAAGCACCTGCGTGAACTGGCATTTGCACACAATGTAAATGATGGCGGTACGCTGGTGCAATAGCCGGTCACAACATGTGCGAGATGCTCTTGCGGCTTTCCAATGGCAAATGGAGTTCCCGAAGCCGTGGCCGTCAGGGATTCACTTGTATGGCAAACGGGAAGTATCACCTGATCTGCATGCGGTGCACTGGGCGCACACGGAAAGCACGTGGCGGCAAACCTGGTGGATTTCATGTCCTTATTGCGTCGAGCCTTTCCATGTGGGGCTGTCTGGCTAAAGGTCATGATACCATGTCGGGAAACCGACAAGGTTTCCGAAAGCAGCGGCACGACACAATCGCCAAGGCCCACCCATCTTGTTCTGGATTTCACACGGTAGCCTGAGATGGCACCTAAGGCACGGTGAATCACGGATTGAACGCTATCAGTGAATTGCACGGGTGCGGTGATGCGGCGCCCCTCGAACTCGACTATCACAGTCTTAGAAAATGCACCATTGTCGAAAAAGCAATGCACGCTCTCGTCAAAGTGCAGCTCCCTAGGTGTGGAAATCAAACCGAAGGAAAAATTCCCGAGTCGGGCCCGTGGCACTGCGCGAAACGCACCGAGGTCTGTCCAAAACCAATCCCGAGGCTTAAGACAAATCATGGCTCTATTCAAGCAATGCTGAGGCGTCACACGTGTCTGATCAAGATATGAGCAGGGCGGCCCTAAGGCAAATGACCTTTGCGGCATGTCATGGCTCAGTTCGTCCTTCAGAAAGAACATGGCGCCCCCCACCCCATCCAAAGTCAACCAAGCTACCGCGGGAAGGTCTGAGCCAAAAGCTTGCCAATCTGAATCCGTAAACAGGTCAACAGTACAGTCACAAGGAAAGTCCTCGAAACCGGCACTTGGTGGTGTGAGGAGTATCCCGTTATCTACTGCTCCTAGCAAATATTGTGCAAGATGTCGCAATGCTTGCAAAGCCAAATACGTGGGACTGGACATCATCTGAGCAAGGGCTCGAATTGTGAACTGACACTCAACCAAGTCTCCAGACAAATACATGAGTATGCCAATGCCAACTTGTCGAAGTGCTTCACGTGCGGCGTCATCAAAATGTTGCCTTCAACAGTGAGCAAATGCTTGCGCTTGAGAAAACTGATCTCGTCACCTGCCTCCTGAAGCGTCTCGATGTTGAAATCATACGCTTTGGCAAGTGTAGGCAAAAGTTTGCCATGCAAGAATTCACTTTTGCACAAGATCATCATGTCATCTACATGCAACAAAATAAAACAACTCCCGCAATCGCTCCTGAGAATTGAGGGGTACGTGGGACATGGCCTAATCTGGAACTCGTCCAAAAGGAAGGCCGTGATATCGCCGTGCCAGAGTTGGCTACCATCACGCTGGCCGGGCAATACCTTTCCCAACGCATACAATCTTGAACCTCCTGTAGCATCTTCACACGTCACAAGTGTGGGCTGCCTTTGACAAACCGTCAAGAACGCGTCCGCCACATCCAAGGCGGAAAGAACAAAACCTTGCGAGCGAAGCATCAAGAACAGTGTTGGAAACAGTCTGCTAGTGACATTCGAGCTTGCAGGGCTATACAGATCTTGCCGCTCCTCCTGCCATGCAAACTCTCTTGCGACATACCTCGAACGTCGCAAATGCACCTTGCGTCCTTCCACCGTCTTCTCTCGCCACGTTCGCACAAACCGAGTGCTGAGCGTCTTTGGTGGTTCCTGCGAATCGCTCAACAAATCATCTGGAGGCAAAAGGACTCCAAGACCGATGAGCCTCTCAATTTCAATTCTGTCTGCAAGCGCGTCCAGCTCCTGCAGCCTGGCTGCATCAAGTTGTGGCTCACCATGGCCTGTGTCTGGGAAAATCAGCTGTTCCTTCGCGGCTGTCAAATCTGGATCTGCCTGTTGGTTGGCCTCTGATCCATCTCGAAGATCATCATCGTAATCCTCAAGATATTCAGATTCATGCTGGTCAAAACAAAACTGAAAGGACTCATCTTCATGGAAATACTCATCACTGCCAATGAAAACGGAATTGCGTTCATCTTGAACTGCCTGAATTCGAATCTGCTTTCTTGGACTGCCACCCTCATCCAGCTCTGCCGTCAAGCCTCTACGAGCGGCTTCGTCAGCACTCAAAGCTGGTGTGGCTGGCTGTGGGCCGCCTGAGCCTGATGCCGGATTGGCTGGCACAGGTGGGCCTGGTCCCCGTGGTGAAGCGGGACCTGCCACTGCTGCACTTGGCGGAGGAGGCATCATCCCCGCCTGCAAGTCATTCCCACTACGCGCGGGCAAGCCTGGCGTGGTTGGAGCATCATCTGCAACAACCGGGGTGTCCGGTGGGTCCTCAGCTGCCTCGTCCGGGGTAGCTGGGGCCTGCTGTTGCAAAGCAAAAGGAAAATCAATGGGGAGCTCGACTGGCACTGCCTGTGGTGGCAAAATCCTCTTTGCCAAAATCAGCTTGGATCCTAGGGCTGCATATCCGAAGTCCCAAGGCATCGACTCAACATTGCTCACAAAATCCAAACTCCAAGGTCGGGGCATTCTCCGAACCGAACGAGTGGTAAAAATGCCACATCCATCTCCTGAGGGGACTGCAATCACATGCACATCTCCCTGCATTGTCTTGCCAAGCCATACTCCTTGGCGCCATTGAGGGCCTGCCTTGGCCGCTGTCTTCAGGAAACCGTAGACCATCTCTGCATAGGTGGCAATCTTGCCTGAATACTGTCTGTCAGCGCACGCCTCATAGGCGGTCAAACCATTCACAACTCGGTATCTGTTGTAGCACCATGCCGCATGCGGTAGAGACCACGCGTAAATGGGGTGGTCACAACCGAAAATGATCTTTCCAGGTGGAGCGCCTCCTTGCCTCTCGAGAAAACTGACAAAAACTCCTGCTTGTTGTCTGACTCCATGCACTGCTTGTTCAACAGCACCGTTTCCTTCATGGTTCCCAATCGCAACTGGTTCTGGCACGGTTGCAACTCCATGCAAACGACATGCCTTGCGAACTGCCTCCATCAAGGAAAGCGTTGCTGGTTCTTGATCGCACTTGATGGCGACCTTCGGATGGCCTGTCCACAAAATAAAACGAGTCAACTCAGTGCAAAGATAAGAGGCATACCTACCTCCCTTGGCAGGGGTTGGAATTGCATGCACCAATCCTGTGGCGCGGTCATGCGCAAAAAGCACTGTGATCTTATCGGAAGTGTCAGGGCGCCTGCTGCAATATCCAAAATCAAATGAAATTACACTGTGTGATGCGCGCTCATGATCCTGGTGGTGGTGAGCATCTTGGCGTCCCTTGCGCAGAACGCAATGCTCACACCATGCACGGTATGGAAAATGAGTGGTGTTATGTTCATCAATTTCTCGCTGAGTGGGTTGGCCTGGTGCTGCTTGCACAACTGGCCTTCTTTCCAGCTCATCTGCAATTTGATGTCTGGCTGCATGAGCAGCAAGCAAATCATGCTGCCTCAAATGCTTCACAAGTCTCTCAAAGAGCTGTTTCCTATTGCCCCAAACGGGCAATCCCAAATTGGTACACGCATCACGCAAAAGTCGCGGTTCAGAGTGGCTGTCCAATCGCACACCTGCAACTTCAATCTCGTTCTGAGCAAGTGGAACAACCTGGTCCTGCTCATCTGCATCAGGCTGTGCAATTGGAACGGCATGTGCTTCTGCCTGCTGTTCAGCAGGTTGGTTCTGAAATGCATTTGCTTTTGATTCATCGCTCGTATCAACAAAAAGTCGCTGCAAAGATTCGTCAGTGAAAGGTCGAACATGTCCAAGAGTGATAACTTGCTCAACTGCCTGGGGCAAATTGAAAGGGGCTGTCATCTGGTCCAGAAGGGTTGTGTCCTGGTTGAACTCAATCAAATCCCAAACACCTGAACTGCAAACCAAAGTAGTCCGATACCATGCCAAGAGATCAAATGGTGCAAGAGTTGTGTCAACAAAGGCCGGGTCATGACTGAGTAAGGCATAGACATCGCCTCCAAGGTCGGTCCATCCTGGCTTCAAGAGCTTCAAAGGTTCCTGAAGTGTAATCACACGGATCTCCTGCTGAGTGGAAACCATCCTGATCACACCGTCTGCACACAGGGAATTGTTTCTGTACCTCAAAGGTATGCGGTTGCTACCCTTAACCAAGCACAAAGAGCCTGATTCATTCTTGATGGACCATCCATCTTGCAAGATTCTTCCCAAGCAAATCAGAGGTGAAGTGATTGGGGCCACTGCAAACCGTTCTCTCAAAACAACGTCGCCAAACCTGATGTCAGCAACACGAGTGTCATGCACGCCTAGCGCGTTCCCTTGTGCATCTACATACTGGGGCTGTCCTACAGCACTGGATTTGTCTGACCTGCCAATGTTTGCATACGAAAGGGGCAAAACTGAGCCGTCCGCACCAGAATCCAAAATAATCGAAATCGCCTGGCCGGGATCAGTCAAAGCACGAACATGCGTTTGAGGATCTGCTTGAGTGGTTTCACATTCATCTGCAAACATCCAATCCATGTCTGAGTCTGAGTATGTCATGTCAAATGTCGGGCAAGCACTCTTGTACACGAGCCGAGGCGAAGCAATCTCATGTGAAACTGTTGCAAAATCGCTCTCAGCTGAACTCATCATGAAAATATTGCCTGATGAGCTTGCTGACAAATTGGTCAAATCTGCAAAATACGGTTCATCATGGAATGCATGAAAATCTTCATCACGTTCTTCAGCAAAAGGCAACAAACGAATCTGGCGCTGCTGTTGCTGTTGCATGTTGTACGCAGCTGCTGATGAAGGCTGAGTCAAAGTGGATCCTGCATTGCTGGCTGCTCCTGAAGGTGGAGGTGGTGCAGTGCTTGCTGATGAGGATGCATTGCCAGGGGGCGCCTGTTCCACTTGTCGAACTTGCTGGTTCTGTTGGTCACGCTTGAATGCTCTGCAGTCACGTTTCCAGTGTCCAGGTTTGTTGCAATACAGACACACGTTCTGGTCAACTCGAGGTCGATCTTGTTGCTGTTGTTGTTGCTGATACTGATGCTTGCCTTTGCCATTGAACTTTCCAGGACCTTTTCCTTTCCCTTTGAATGGTGGTGATGGTCCTCCTTTGCCCTTTCCATGCTTGCCTTTGTTTTTGCCTTTGTGTTTGCCTTTCCCTGAGTTCCAATTGTCGTTGAAACCAACGCGGTCGATTTCCATGGGTGCAACTCCTTGATGCTGTCCATGTGACGCATGCGAACCAACTCCAAATTCAGAGTGAACCTTGTTTGGAGACCACGTCATGGTTACCTGTTCATATGCAAGCACAGAAGTCCTCACTTGGTCATATGTACTGGATTCAGTCATCTGCAACTGAACATGCTGTCGAATATGATTTGGCAAAACTCGGGTCAAGGTTGCAAGGGCAACATCATCTGGAACTTCACGTCCTGCAGCACGCCTGTATTCATTTCTCATCAAATCCAAACTCTGAATCTGTTCTCGCAAAGATCGGTCTTTACCAAAAGGTGGGAGATTCATCAAAGCCGTCAACAAAGAAACTGCCCTCGATTTGGTGTGAGGCTGAAATGCAGAGACCAATTGTCTCCAAACCTCAAGCCCATTCCTGTCAGAAACATTGCGCAAAATACGAAAAGGGCGTCCTTTGAGAATACCTGTCAATATGCTGTAAAGTTGTGCCACACGCTCCTTGTTCTCATCTGAAAACCCAGAAACATCAACCGGGGTCGCGATGTTCTCCTCCACATGTAAAAGCATAGCCTCAAAGTCTGAATCTGCGTAGAAAAGCCATGCCTTGAACTGCACATTCCAGTCAGGAAATTCTGCACGCTCATCTTCTGGAGTATCTGGTCCAAAAACTGCAGGTTGCTTGACCACTTTGCTTGCTTCTGAAAACCGTCCAGCTCCAGCTGTTTGAATCGAGCCAGTGGAGCCTTGGGTTGCTGATTGAATCTGCTCAATTCTCAAGGCTGCATTGGCCGTAGACTCCGCTGCACGAATCAGAGCTTGTGTGAGCTGAGCAATCTCCGGGGTCGCCATGTCTGCTCCAAGCAATATGCGCACACCCAGAAAATGTAATCAAGCAAAAGTCGCAAGCTGCAAATGGAAAACTGCGGTTGCAAGTCAAATATCGTTCCAGCACTCCAAAGCCAGTGAAAGTGTAATGGCTGCCGCGGGCCGAAACAAACCTAGGGGCTCTACGTCAAACCGAGGTCCCTGAGTCACTGCTCGTTTGAGTCAGTGCTCCGCTACCATGATTATTTTTCTGCAACCAAACGCCTAGCGGATGCATTCATCACATGGTTTCATGTGGCAACTGTTTGGTGAGTTCAAACTGTACAACTCATGCAAAACACGTGGTGTGTACATGGGAGCTTAGGTGTCCATAAAACCTAATCACGATGTCAGAACATGTGGAACGGCTGTAAGAAGTTGAGACAACTGTGCATCTCATCCACTCAGTACGCAGCTGGAAAAAGGCACTGGAGAGCCAACAGCCAACAGCAAAAATCAGAGCCAGCAGCTACAGGACGCCAAAGAGCCAGAGCCGTTGTCGGACGGAGAAAGCCAGCCCGCGCCGCAAGCCTTGAGTTTTGGAACGGCGGCTCTGACTGTGCCAGCTCTGCCTTCCATCCGACAACGGCTCTGACTCTTTGGCGTCGGCGCCTGTGGCTCTGGCTCTGGCCTCTAGCTGCTGGCTCTGACTAGGCTCTGACTGCGCCAGCTCCTCTGCTTACTACGTTTTTGCTCTGGCTTCTGGCCATTGATAGAGCCTTGGCTTTGTCTGGCCCTCTGGCTCTGGCCCTCTGCTTGCGCCTAGCTGCTTCTACTGCGGCGGTTGGCTCCGTTGCTTCTGCTGCTGGCTATGCCATGGCTGCATCTGCTTCTGGCTGCTTTGGCTTTAGCTGCTCTGCTTCTGGGTATGCCATGGCTCTGGCTTGCTGCCTCTTGCGCGGCTCTGCCTCTGCCCTCTGCTTGCTCTCGCGCTGGCGGCTGCTTTGGCTCTGCCTCTGGCTGGCTTTCACCGGCTCTGGCTTTTCTGGCTGCGCGGCCCTGGCTCTGCCGCTCTGCCTCAACTTTGCTGCTTTCTGGAAGGAAAAATATGGCTAGCGCTGGATATCTGCAGGAAGGCTGCAAGGCTTTGTCCCGGCTGGCGATGCCACCAATGGCAACGCAGAAAAATTGCACCTCTGTCAAGCCTCGCACCGTTCCAAACCTCGAGGCTTCTGCTGCTGGCTATGCCATGGCTGCCTCTGCTTCTGGCTGCTTTGGCTCTTTGCTCTGCCTCTCCTTCTGGTTATGCCATGGGCTCTGGCTTGCTGCCTCTTGCGCGGCAGTTCTGCGATGGCAGTGGGCTTGATAAGCGGCCACGCGGGCCTTGGCTACTAAAAATGGAGGGACTTCTGCATTGTCCTTCCCAGGAACGGGAGGTCCTTGATAAAACGGACGTGGGACGGCCATCGGGCTTGATAAAGCGGCCATGCAGTCTTGGCTGTGGCCAGCACGGCCATTGGCCTTGTTTGTTGGCCTTGATAAAACGGCCACTGTCGATAAAATGGTTTACGGGCGATAAAATGGTCTACGGGCTCCATTGGCCTTGATAACGGCCATTGCGGGCGATAAAATGGTCTACGGGCGATAAAATGGTCTACGGGCTGCATTGGCCTTGATAACGGCCATTGCGGGCGATAAACTGGTCTACGGGCGATAAAATGGTCTATGGGCTGCTTTGGCTTGATAAATGGAGGGGCTTCTGCATTGTCCTTCTCAGGAACGGGAGGTTTGGGGTTATCTTTGTAGAGATGAAGTGCGGCTTTCCCAGTGCCGCGCGTGCAGCGGCTGCAGCCATCTGTCTCCGGCTCGCTCGCACTGCCGTCGCTTCGCTGCCGGCGGGTCGACCTTCAGTTTAGGGTTTAGGGTTTAGGGTTTAGGGTTTAGGGTCTAGAGGGTA